CCACCATGTTTCCGTTATGGCAACAATATCATATCCGCCCTCATTAACCTGAATTTCTAGTTCACCCTGTTTGCTGTTCATACTCTGTGCATTTGTGTATAGACATTTGAGTCCTTTATGACCCACCCTGTGTTTACTTCCTACGTAACCTGTGTGGTGCCTGAGTTCCCCTAATGTCTTACCACCTATTTGGTTAATGCACTTTGTGTGGCACTCGCTATTAAGAGCTTGATTTTGCTTGACAGCAAGGTTGGTATTTTTGACCACACACATATCTATGTTATATGCACTGATAGCCCTATTGTTTTTAGATTGCCGGGGACAGGGATGTTCTGTATCAGTTAGCTCACTATCCCCACTGTTTAGTTTAAATATTCCTCCAGAAATTCTGTGAATTTAAAGCCAGGTAACTCAGTCCCTTTCTTTGGTGTATGCAAACCATCTCTTTTGTACATTTTCTCATGGGACCAGCTAATACTGTAAGAATAGAATAGAATAGAATAGAATAGAATAGAATAGAATAGAATAGAATAGAATAGAATAGAATAGAATAGAATTATGATAGGATAGGAAAGGATAGGATAGGATTGGAAGGGACCTTGGAGGTCTTCTAGTCCAGAGCTTTTCAACCAGTGGTACAGGTACCACCTGTGGTACATTGGCACCTGGCAGGTGGTATGTGACCATCCTAGAAAAGTGGTAGCGGGGGAGGGGAATGAGCTGAACCGATGGCAACACCGCACAAGCCTGAGCGAGAGACGGCTGGAGCTGCAGGGCTGTCAGGGCTCAGCGGAAGCGCCAGGGTCAGTGCCGCTTTCCAGCTGATCGACGCTTCTTTAGGGCTGTCAGGGCTCAGTGGAAACACCAGGATCAGCGCCAGGCTCCAGCTGGAGGTCAGCGCTGATCCTGATGCTTCTGCTGAGCCTTGAAGAAGCACCGATCAGCTAGAATGTTGCAGCATCTCCAGGATCTTGTGATTTACATTCAGAGGCTTTCCAATTGATTCATATCTATGGCGGTCACAGTGTCCCAGGGTCATGTGAAGTGACCAAAACCTGCTGCAATCACCCAGTAGATGGGGGGAATAAAAACCAAACACACCCCCACCCCATCCCTGCTGCCAATACTCAATAGAAATGCTCACAACAGTGAAAACCTCAGACACCGGGCGGGCAGGCAGGTGTCTTGCTAGGCTGTGGCTTGGGGGGCACTTTTTTTCAGTGCCATTGTAACTTTGAACAATCACTAAGTGAACTGTTGTAAGTCGAGGACTACCTTTACTTTACCACTTCCCCCCCCCTTTTTTGGGGTCATCAAGTTTTTGACCCCTTGCTAGGCGACTGGTGGTACTCAGATATGCCATATCCTAAAAATGGTACAATGGATGAAAAGGTTGAAAAGCCCTGTTCTAGTCCAGCCCCTTGCTTGAGCAGGAGAACCTATACCAGGGGTAGGCAACCTTGGCTCTTTTATGACTCATGGACTTCAATTCCCAGAATTCCTGAGCCAGCCATGCTGGCTCAAGAATTCTGGGAGTTGAAGTCCATGAGTCATAAAAGAGCCAAGGTTGCCTACCCCTGACCTATACCATTTCAGACAAGCGACTGTCTAGAGTCCTCTTAAAAACCTCCAGTGATGGAGTGCCCACAATTTCTGGAGGCAGGCTGTTCCACTGGTTAATTGTCCTCCCTGTCTGGAAGTGTATGCTTAATTCCAGGTTGCTTTTCTCTTTGATCAGTTTCTAACCATTGTTTCTCGCCTGCCCTCTGGTGCTTTGGAGAATAATTTGACCTCACCCCCTCTTCCTTGTGGCAGCCCCCCAAATCCTAGAATGCTGCTATCATGTCACCCCTATTTCTTCTTTTCTTTAGACTGGCCAGGCCCAAGAAAGGAAGAGTGGTTGAGAATCATGCAGGGGCAGGACCCCAAAAGAAGTGCACACTTCTGCTGAGCCCTCCCAATTACGAAGTCCCAGAAAAACGTTCCCTCCGCCCACCCAGACCCACCGATTCCACCTCTGGGGCCGGGAGACTCCGTGTCTTTCTCCCCTCTCTTTGGGGACGCTTGTGGGGCAGCATCCAGGGGCTCTGTTGGGCTCCCCCTGATGTTGCTGCTGGTGGGAACACTGGCCTGGATCCCTGGAAGCCAAGGGGGGAAGGAGACCCCCGGTAAGGAGGGGCCAGGACAGGGAGGGGCTGGGGGGAGGATATGGTTGGGAAGCACCCCTGATACTCGTGGGGGAGGCGGGGAAGAAAGCTGCTGGATCTCCAGACGTACTTTGGGAAACTGGTCGAGGGTAAGAGTGGTGGAAGTCTGCAAAAGCTTCCATCTCTGCGTGGTCTCCTCCCCCTTTCTCCCCACATCCCCCCCAGGGGGACGCAGAGGGACCCGCTCTTTCCCAATTTTAGCCGAGGTGGGGAGTCGCAGCCGGGCCCGTCTCTCGCTCCCCTCCCCCCTCAATATCTGGGTCGGAGTCGGCTGCATCGAAAGAGGAAGGAGGCGGAAAGCGAAAGCGAAAGAGGGAAATTTTCCGACCTGAATCCACACAAAGAAAAAGATGCATTTTAGCAAAAATATTTTTGCTTCTTCGGAAACTTCACTTTTTCTTCTGAAACCCCAATTTGAGGCTTTGAAGGTCCCGCAAGAGCGGAGCTTCGGTCCCTTCTGGGGGAGACTCTAGATTTGGGGAGGAGACCAAGAACCCCCCACCCTCCATAATCCCCCATTGCTCAGTCGGGACCTGGAGGGGAGGGGGGAACTGAGGGAGGAGGACGGGGGGGGCGGGTCTTAATTGGGGGATGCTTTCAGTCTTGGGGGGCTGCAGCTCAAGGGGGTGTTTCAGAGCAGCCCTGCAGGGGAGTTTGGATTTCATTTTGCTCTCCCCCCCCCCCGATCCCGCCTAGGTGGCTGCAGGGAGAGAGGCACACAGCCAGGGGGGGACTTGGGGGTCTCTAAAGCGGCTGATTGAGGAGTCCAGCCCCTCCTCACCGTGATTTTCCTTCCCCGCTTCGCTTCCAGAGAACTGGCCCGGCGCCCCCCCCCAGCAGCAGGGAGAGCCCAGGGTCGCCCCCAGCCCCAGAGGTGGAATCGGGGGGGGTTCCTCCGAGAGTGGGCGGAGGAGGCGTTTTCCTCGGAATTCAGAACTGGAAATGGCCTGATAGGAGAGGAACCAATGGGAAGTCTCCCTCCTGCAGCATCATCGGTCTCCAGGCAGAGTCCTTTGAGACTTCACCCACCGGCAGACACAGCGAAGGCGATCCAGGGAGGGATGTCTCACCCCCCCCCCCATCCCCAGGGAGGCCGCCCTGCTCTCCGCCCTCCCTCCCCGGCCCTGGCACCTTTTGTTGAGGGGAGGGGATGGACGAGGGGAGGAGTTTGTCTGGAGGGGAGCAGCCAGGGGATCAGGGCTCCAAAGAGGGAGGGAGGGAGGGGTGCTGGGTGCGAATGGGGCAGGAGCCTCCGTGGCTTGTGAGGGGCTCAAACGGGCTCCGATCCTGGAGAAAGAGGCCCCGGATGAAGCCAGGAGACCCTCCAGCTCCAGCAGCTTCCCAGCCACGGAAGAGGCTCTCCAGGGGAAGCAGGAATTGGGGGTCTCCCGGGGGTCCCCTCCCTCTGGCTGGGTTTGGAGAGATTGAGGAGGGGGTCCTGCCCCTTCCCCTCCCTGGGATCTGCCCACCCTCCTCCCGAACTGCTTCTGGCTTCGGATCTAAACTAGCCTGGATAGTCAATCCAGAGACAGGGTAGGCCTCAATTTGGGGAGGGGGAGGGGAGGAGGGAGGACTCTCTGGGGGGGGCAGGAAAGAGGAGGAGGAAGAGGAAGGAAAGAGGGAGGAATTCCAGGATTTTTCCTACCATATAAATTTTATTCTTTTATAGCAAAGTGAAGAGAAGGGATTCGTAGGAAGAGTAATGGGGATGAAGCTGCTGTGGGTTCAAAGAGGGGAGAGATTTGGGGTTCTGGACTGGCAGGCAGGCCCAGAGTCCCTGGGGTCAGTCTAGATGGTCTCCACCCCTCCCTCCATAGAAAAGGAGGCCCTGAAAGGAAGATGAGGGTCCTCTCAGCAGGAAAAGCTCCAGGCTGCCATTCTACTCCTCTCCCTAATCTAAAATCTTGAGCCTCCATTTTTCAGAGGTTGCAAAAAAGACAGAAATTCTTCAGCTACTGAAAAAAAAAAACTTCCTTTCCCACCAGGAATCAGGAAGGAGTGCTGAAGAAAAAAAGAGATGGGGAGAAAATGAGAATACAAAATGAAACCTTCAGTGTAAATAACTTATTATTCCTCTCTTTCAGCCACCCCCCACAGAGAGGCCCACATTGCAGGGGTTTCGTTGATAGGCAGGGGCAGAATGAGGGAGAATCTCCCATGTCAGGGAGGAAAAGTCTGGGAAGGACCAGCAATTCATCTCCAGAGGCTTGTGGAATTTTTCCCAGCTGAATTAATTGGGGAGTTAATCAAGAGAAGGCCTCCCCCCCCAGATGTTTCATATTAACAAAGAAGATGGGGCCAGGATGGGGAGTGGTAGCAAAGCCGGGTGTCGCTTTGCCAGAAATTGTGTGAAATGTCACAAGGAGACTTCCCTTCTCTTTTGCAATTTCCCAAAACCTGGAAATCTCCTGGGCCAGATTTTAGTGTTTATGTGTGTGTGTGTTTGTTTTTGATTGCAATGTATTTTTAGGTCTCTGAAAGGAAAAGCTGCCCAAAACTTCAAAAATTTGTGTTATCCACAGCTAGGAGGTTTTGTTCAGGAACATTTTTTTTTAAAAAAGGAACAATTAAGGAATATTAAACAAACATCTATAACTTGAGGAGAAACTCACCTGCAGGAGGCTGGATGGGAGTTGCTGGAAGGAAAAAAAAGCCAATCAGGACCCTTCATGGGCTGGAGGACACGGGGGTCCCGTTCCCCATCGATAACCCATAATAGGTTGCAAGATGTTGACTTATACAATAGACCCTCAAAGAACAGAATTTCCCAAATTTCCAGGGGGGCCTCCTTGCCATCTGCTGAGCTTGCTGAGAGGCCTCCCCTGGATGGTCCCCTCCCCACAATCTCTCATCCAGCCCCCCAGACTCACCTTTCTTGCTCTTCAGGTAGAGGGAGAGCCCCATTGCAAAGAAGATCACCCCGATCACGGCTGCCACGATCCCCGTCCAGAGTTTGCTCCTGGCCGAGTTGGAGGATCGGGGCTCTGGGGAAGGAGAAGGAGCCTCTTCTGAATAGGAGGATCAGGGCCAGCTTCCCCCCCCAGGAGGGTCCATCCCAGCTCCCCCCACAGGGAGGGGCTCTCCTCCCTTCTAAGGGCAGGAGGGGGTCCCCAGAGGGGGAGGGGAGGGAGGGGAGGGGCTCACCCCACTGGACGGTGATGGGGGCCTCCAGGCTTGCGTGCCCCACCTGGCAGGTGTAGACGTCCCCCCGCTGGGGCTGGGTCTCCAGCATCACCTGGAGCTGGTAGGTCCAGTCTCCGTTCTGGAGCTCCTCCCCAAAGGCCACGCCCTCCTCCTCTGGCCGCCCGTTCTTCAGCCACCGGACCTCGATCTCCATGGGGTAGAAGCCCCTCACGATGCAGAGGAGGATGGTGTTAGGGGAAGTGGGGTCCAGCTTGGTGGGGGAGATGGAGACGGTGGGCTTGGCTGGAGGGGAGGAGGGGGAGGGGGAGAAGGGACATGGGGGGGAGACATAGGAGGGACCAGAACAGGAGACCAAGTTGGTTATTTCAGGCCAAGAGCCCTTTTCAGTCCTGAAAATAGTATTTGTTTTAAGTCATTTCCAAAGCAAATTGCAGCAAGAAATTAAACGGGATCCTGAATGATGGAAAAACATAAATCGTTCCTGGTTGGGATCAGTTTCCATCATCAAATTGCACAAGTCCAACAGAAATAAATACTGGAAACACCCCGGAATGGAAGGAATTTCCTGCCAGATTTGGGGGAGACAGAAAGAGACCCAGAAGATGGGGAAGACACACAGCATGTTTTGGAGAATTGCAGGGATTCCATTCAAAAGAAAACCACATTTTTTAAAAATAGGTAGAATACCGGAACATTTATTTATTTATTAAAATTTTTTGCCACCATCTCATGATAAAATGACTCTAGGCAGCTTACAGCAGGGCTTTTCAACTGGTGGTACATGTACCACCTGTGGTACATGAGCACATGACAGATGGTATGCTGCCCTGCCCAGCCAAGTGTAGTGTGAAAGGAAATGAGCCAGCGCAGGCAAGGACTTACTGTGAGAGAGTCCTCTGGAGCTGCAGAGTGGCTGGGGTGAGGCAAACGCCCCAGGCTCACTTCTGGCTCACCCCCCTCCCACATGAGAAAGGAGGAGGAGGGCGTGGAGACAGGAGGGGCTATAAAAGGAGGCAGTTTTGGCCGGGAGAAGGAGAGAGAGAAAAAGAAGCAGCCTTGGGAGGAGGAGAAGTCAGCTCTAGCTGCACAGAATGGAAAGAAGGAGGAGGGTGGGGGAGAGGAGAGGAGATCAAGCAGGCCTGCCACAAGTGGATCTACAACTTCAGGGGCAGCCACCTGTGCTGGCAGCAACCAAGAGGCAAGGAACGTAGGGAGGAGGGGTTGCTCTCCATGAGGAATGAAGAAAGGCAGCAATGAAGAAAGGCAGCAATGAAAAAAGGCAGCAATGAAGAAAGGCAGCACTGGCTGGAGGTGAGGCAAGGAGGGAGATGGAGAGTGGAAGGATTCTTTTTTTTATTGAAGATTTTTAAAATTTTACAATAAAAACCCCTTCCCCAATCCCTCCCAACCCACCCCAAAACCCTTCCCCGTTCTTCCCAGAGCTGAATACAGGCTTAACTAGATCTTAAAAGAAAAAAAGTTTTAAACCCAAATAAACCTTAAGCAAATATAATTACACTCAATAAACAAATTGTAAAGTACTTTAACTCCATTATATATAAAAAACAAAAAGAGGAAAAAAAAGAGAAAATAAAAAAATTAAATAATAATAACAATTACACTTCTAAATAATATCTTAGACTTATATAAATTATTCAAAAGCTAGATAATATTTTCTTATATCATACTTATATTGTATAAAATTTATCCATCTTTTCCACACCAAAAGATACTTCTCTTGCGATTGATCTTTCAAGAGTGGAAGGATTCTTATATGCTTTGGTGACTTTGAAGTTCTGGGATTTGTGCAATGGGGGCTTTGTGTTCTTAAGGAGTGTTTGGCAATTTCTATTTGGCTGATGTCTCCTGTTAGCTTCTATTGCTCTGCTATTGTTAGCTGTAAGTTTGCTGCAAGGGATTTTGAAGTATTTTTCTCCTGAATGGATTTTGCCTGTAGCATTCCTTTCCTTACAAATGGAGCCAATTGGGGAGGCTGTCTTAGCCAGCAGCCATACCTATTACATTTTTTTTTCTTCCTTAAGTGCTGACTGCACTCCTTAACTTTCCTTTCTAGCCAGTAGCTGATTCTTAAAGGGGAATGTGCCTTTTTAAGCTAGTTCCCTCAATGGCTTTTCTGTCTCTGGAGGCTTTTCCTTGTTCAATGAATATATGAAAGAAGGGAAATGGGGGGGTCGTCAAATTCTTCCTTCAGAAGGAGATGGGAATGGGAAAGAGGGAGGCAGGGAAGGAGGGAGGCAGGGAAGGAAGTCCCGCCTTAGCACTTGGCCACCAGCAGCCCTGCCATTGACTTTGCTTGTCAAGAGGTTGCAGAAGGGGATCACATGACCCTGGGACACTGTGACCATCATAAATATGAATCCATTGCCAAGCATCCAAATATAAATCACATGACCCTGGATCTGCTGCAATGGCCATAAGTGTGAAAAATGGTCATAAGTCATTTCAGTGCAATTGCAACTTTGAAGAGGGTTTTCCTTTTTTTGGTCATCAAGTGTTTGACACCTTGCTAGGTGGTACTCAAATATTGCCATATCCTAAAAGTGGTACAGTCGGTGAAAAGGTTGAAAAGCCCTGGCTTACAGCATTAAAACATTAAAGTCCTAACAGATAAATATTTGTATAGCAATCAAAATGGAGTTCAAGATAAAATTATAGTTAAAAGATGGGGAGGAACAGGAGGTGTGAGGGGGGAGGGGGGATTGCCTCTGAATTCAACAACTACCTCCAGTGTGAGGCTCCCCATGAGGACCCCCTGATTTTGAGCCAGGTTTCGCCTAATCTGTAGGTGAACCTTTGGTTTTTCCTGCCTAGGTGTAAGACTTTGCTTTTCTCCACACTGAAACTCATTTTGTTGGATAGGATCCCTTGTTCAAGTCTGTCCAGATCTTTTTGGATCCTGAGTTTGTCTTCTGGAGTGTTGGCTACTCCTGCCAGTTTGGTGTCCTCTGTGAATTTGATGAGTTCCCCTTCAATTCCCTCCTTTGAGTCATTGATGAAGATGTTGAAGAGTTTACTAGGCCTCAGATGGAGCCTCGTGATTCCCCACTTGTCCCTTCCCTCCATGCGGATGTGGCGCCTTTGAGGGCTTACTCACAAGTAAGGCTTGTCAGCCAGCTGCAGACTGGCTGGGGGGTGATGTTGTCTATCCCACAAGAAGAAGGTTGGGGTCTCCTCTGTGGGATGCCTGGCTGAAGTCCGAGAATGCTCCGTCCACAGGAAAGGAGCCCTAATGGGGGCAGCCATTTTCTCCCCATAATTGCTTGAATCCTCTTGAGGAAGAGCTTATTCCCCCCCCCCCCCCCGGAAGACTGACAGACTCCGAGTCCCCCTTTCGGAGCAGGAGGGACGGAGGAGCTTTTGGGGGATCTCAGGGTCTCCCTTGTGCTGAGGAGAAACCTTCCTGGGGGGCCTTTGGGGGGATTCAGAGGGAGACCCCCCAGACCATCCTCTTCCTTCAGCCATCCTGCCTCCCTCCCAGCCCCATTTCCCCCGGGGAAGGAGGTGAGGAGGGGTCCCACCCTCCTGCCTGGGATGGGGGGGGCAGGAAGGGGTCTAGGACAACTCAGCCAACTCAAGGCAGCACAAAAGTTACACAATATGGAAGAAATGGAGAAAGAGAATAAGGAAAGGGCCGAGGGAGGAGGAAAATGAAATGTGAAGGACAAAAATTAAAAAAAACATTTTTAAAATTATTTTAAATAATTGAATAAAATTGTTGAATTGTCCTGCTGTGAGTTGCCCCATTCCAGACAGGGAGGGCGGAAAGGATGGATCTGACCCCCCTGCCTGGGATGGGGGGGGCAGGGAGGGGTCTAGGCTCAGGGGCTTTGCTTGGGGGGCACAGAGGAGGAGGCAGCCGTGGGGCCGGTCAGCCTCCTGAAGCCCTCCCCCCTTTAAAATTAAAATCCAGTGATAAAAATTCATTAATCATTCCTGCCTTTTAAATCTTAAATTGTATAGACTATTTTGGTGGTTTTATATTTTATGTGTACACCATGCAAAGTCCCTCTGTGGGGGAAAGAGAGAGACGGTTTTCAAAGTTGATAAGTAAATCAATGAAGAAATATTATTGATTTATTAATATAAAATATTATATTGAAATGTTATATGGGATATAGATTATATTGAAATATATCTATATACTGGGCAAAGGAGAGACCTTGCTGGATTCCTTCTCTCCTCCCCCCCCCCCCGAAAAATATATTTGGTATAATATTCTGGAAAGAAGTTTTTTGGGCAGGGGAAACTTGGGACCCTGGGAAGAGAAGGAAGATGATGGGATCGATGGGAAGGAGAGGAATCTATTGCTTCCCTTTTCCATGTTTCATTGTCATCCTTGTAGAATTTCAAACTTTTTAAAAATAATTTATTTTTTAACCTTATTTTTTATACATTTTTATTTATTTATTTTTTTATTTAGGGGTGGTGTTATATCCTACCCCATCCAGAGGTCCACTTTGAGGGGGGTGAAGGGATTAGGAGTCTCAATAAATAGCAATAAATACCAGTGAATAAATTTCATAGATCGGAGGGCACAGAACACATCAGGGGCAAATCTTTCTCCGGGAGAGTCCTAATAAATGAAATGAAAAGGGGGGGTCCCTGCATTCCCCCCCCATGGAATTTCCCCTCCCCCACTTACCTCTCCGGCCAACCACGGAATTTCTCTGGAAAACCTCGTAGTTCTTTCGGCAGAAGCGATTCACTCCGGCCTTCCAGTACTGCAGGAGGCGCTTATCCTTGTTGAAAGCCTCCGCATCCACCTCCCCCAGCACCGTGATGGCCTCGAACTCCTCGCGGGTGCTGTCGAAGCGGAGATACTCCTGCCGGTCGTAGATGTACCTGTTCAGGAGCCTCACCTGCCGCGTCCCGTTGAGGAAGCGGCACTCGGCCTTCGCCTGGTACAGGAAATGGGCTGCGGGGAGGAAGAAGAGCGTCAGGAGGGACTCCAGGGCCCATGGTTCCCAGCCTGCCCTCGAGGAGGGACACAGGCTTGTCAGAGGCGGGGAGGGAAACCTGCCGCGAGAGACTTCCAGAAGGCGCCCCCTGGAGGAGAGATGGGGAACTGTCGGTCCCAGAGGGATTTCCTCTTAGTGGGGGTTGGGGGAGGGGAGGAAAATGAGGGAGGGGAGGAGTTTCCTGAGGGACCGCCTCCTTCTCCCGAGGGTGGAAAAAGGCAGGCAGAAGTTCAGCTGGTCCAGCACTCGGCCTAACTCTGCAGGGAACGCTGGATCCGGGTGGGGCTTCTTTTGTTGTTGTTAATTGCGAAGTCGTGTCCGACCCATCGCGACCCCATGGACAACGTTCCTCCAGGTCTTCCTGTCCTCTACCATCTTCTGGAGTCCATTTAAGTTCACACCTCCTGTTTCAGTGACTCCATCCAGCCATCTCATTCTCTGTCGTCCCCTTCTTCTCTTGCCCTCAATCTTTCCCAGCATTAGGCCCTTCTCCAGGGAGTCCTTCCTTCTCAAAGTATTTGAGTTTCAACTTCAGGATCTGGCCTTCTAAAGAGCAGTCGAGGTTGATCTCTTCTAGGACTGACCGGTTTGAACGCCTTGCAGTCCAAGGGACTCGCAGGAGTCTTCTTCAGCACCATAGTTCAAAGGACTCAATTCTTTGGCGCTCAGCCTTTCTTATGGTCCAACTTTCACAGCCATACATTGCAACTGGGAAAACCATGGCCTGGACTATACGCACTTTTGTTGGCAGGGTGATGTCTCTGCTTTTTAGCATGCTGTCTAGATTTGCCATAGCTTTCCTCCCCAGGAGCAAGCGTCTTTTAATTTCTTGGCTGCAGTCCCCATCTGAGGTGATCTTGTAGCCCAGAAAAATAAAATCTGTCACTACCTCCATTTCTTCCCCATCTATTTGCCAGGAATTGAGAGGGCCGGATGCCATGATTTTGGTTTTCTTAATGTTGAGTTTCAAGCCCACTTTTGCACTCTCCTTCTTCACCCACATCAAGAGGCTCTTTAGTTCCTCTTCACTTTCTGCCATTAGAGTGGTATCATCTGCATATCTTAGGTGGTTGATATTTCTCCCGGCAATCTTAATTCCAACTTTTGATTCATCTAGCCCTGCCTTTCTCATGATGTGCTCTGCATATAAGTTAAATAGGCAGGGCAACAGTATACAGCCTTGCCGGACTCCTTTTCCAATTTTGAACCAATCAGTGGTTCCGTGTTCGGTTCTCACTGTTGCTTCTTGACCCGCACATAGGTTTCTCAAGAGACAAATGAGATGGTCTGGTACTCCCATCTCTTTAAGAACTTGCCACAATTTGTTGTGATCCACACAATCAAAGGCTTTTGCATAGTCAATGAAGCAGAAGTAGATGTTTTTCTGGAACTCCCTAGCTTTCTCCATGATCCAGCGTATGTTGGCAATTTGATCTCTAGTTCCTCTGCCTATTCGAAATCCTGCCTGTACTTCTGGTAGTTCTCGATCCACATACTGCTGGAGTCTAGCTTGTAGGATTTTAAGCATAACTTTACTAGCCTGTGAAATGAGTGCAATGGTGCGATAGTTTGAACATTCTTTGGCATTGCCTTTCTTTGGAATTGGAATGTAAACTGACCTTTTCCAATCCTGTGGCCACTGTTGAGTTTTCCAAATTTGCTGGCAAATTGAATGTAGCACTTTTACTGCATCGTCTTTTAAGATTTTGAATAGCTCAGCTGGAATACTGTCACCTCCACTAGCTTTGTTGTTGCTCAGATTTTCTAAGGCCCATTTCACTTCACATTCTAGGATGTCTGGTTCGAGGTCAGTGACCATCTCATTGTGGTTATCTGGGATGTTAAGCTCATTCTTGTATAGTTCTTCTGTGTAGTTTTGCCATCTCTTCTTAATCTCTTCTGCCTCTGTTAGGTCTCTGCCATTTTGGTCCTTTATCATGCCATCTTTGCATGAAATGTTCCCTTCATATCTCCAATTTTCTTGAAGAGATCTCTGGTCCTCCCTATTCTGTTGTTTTCTTCTATTTCTTTGCACTGTTCATTTAAGAAGGCATTCTTATCTCTTCTAGCTACTCTCTGGAATTCTGCATTCAATTGGGGGTATCTTTCTCTTTCTCCTTTGCCTTTTGCTTCCCTTCTTTCCTCAGCTATTTGCAAAGCTTCCTCAGACAGCCATTTTGCTTTCTTGCATTTCTTTTTCTTGGGATGGTTTTAGTTGCTACCTCTTGTACAATGTTGCGAACTTCCATCCATAGTTCTTCAGGCACTCTGTCTATCAGATCTAATTCCTTAAATCTATTTGTCACCTCTACTGTATATTCATTAGGAATATGATTTAGTTCATACCTGAGTGGCCTAGTGCTTTTCCCTACTTTTTTCAATTTAAGCCTAAATTTTGCAACGAGAAGCTCATGATCTGAGCCACAGTCAGCTCCTGGTCTTGTTTTACTGACTGTATAGAGCTTCTCCATCTTTGGCTGCAGAGCACATAGTCAATCTGATTTCTATGTTGACCGTCTGGTGATGTCCATGTGTAGAGCCGTCTCTTGGGTTGTTGGAAAAGAGTGTTTGTTATGACCATTGTATTCTCTTGACAAAATTCTATAGCCTGTGCCCTGCTTCATTTTGTACTCCAAGGCCAAACTTGCCTGTTATTCCAGTTATCTTCTGGCTTCCTACCTTAGCATTCCAATCCCCCATGATGATAAGGACATCATTTTTTGGTGTTAATTCTATAAGGTGCTGTAGGGCTTCATAGAACCGGTCAATTTCATCCTCTTCAGCACCAGTGGTTGGGGCATAGATTTGGACTATTGTGATATTGAATGGTTTGCCTTGGATTCGAATTGAGATCATTCTGTCATTTTGGGGATTGTATCCCAGTATTGCTTTTCCTATTCTTTTATTGACTATGAAGGCTACTCCATTTCTTCTGAGTGATTCTTGCCCACAGTAGTATACCTGATGGTCATCTGAGTTAAATTCACCCATTCCAGTCCATTTTAGTTCGCTGATTCCTAAGATGTCGATGTTCAGTCTTGTCATCTCTTTTTTGACTACGTCTAGCTTGCCTTGATTCATGGATCTTACATTCCAGGTTCCTATGGAGAAAAAATCTTTACAGCATCGGACTTTCCTTTCACCACCAGATATATCCACAGCTGAGCGTCCTTTCGGCTTTGGCCCAGTCGCTTCATTCTTTCTGGCGCTACTAGTACTAGCCCTCTGCTCTTCCCCAGTAGCATATTGGACACCTTCCGACCTGAGGGGCTCATCTTCCAGCATCATATCTTTTTTCCTTTTAGTACTGTCCATGGGGTTTTCATGGCAAAGATACTGGAGTGGTTTGCCATTTCCTTCTCCAGTGGATCACATTTTGTCAGAACTCTCTGCTATAACCTGTCCGTCTTGGGTGGCCCTGCACGGCATGGCTTATAGCTTCATTGAGTTACGCAAGCCCCTTCGCCACGACAAGGCAGTAATCCATAAAGGGGACAAGGCAGTAATCCATAAAGGGGTTCTATCTCTATCTATCTCTATATATCTATATCTATATATATCATCTCTATCTCTATATCTATCTCTATATCTATATATCTCTATCTCTATCTCTATCTCTATCTCTTATATCTCTATCTCTATCTATCTCTATATCTTTATATTTAAAATGAAGGAAAAATTCAAGACTTTGACAGAAGGAAAATATGAAATGGAAACTAAAAACAGATAAAAAGGAGGAAGATGCAGTGAAATTGGATAGAATAGAAGAGAGCTGGGAGGGACCTTAGAGGTCATCTAGTCCAGGCAGGAGACTCTATACTCTTTCGGACAAATGGCTGTCCAGTCTCTTCTTGAAAACTTAAAAACTGTTGGAGCATTCACAGATTGCATTCACAGAGGCAGGTGGTTCCACTGGTTAATTGTTCTAACTGTCAGGAAATTTCTCCTTAGTTCCAGGTTGCTTCTCTCCTTGGTTCGTTTCCATCCGTTGCTTCTTGTCCTTCCAGGTTCTTTGGAGAATAGCTTGACTCCGTCTTCTTTGGGGCAGCCCCTGAGACAAACTCCTGACATTAAAGGAAATAGAGTGGATAAAGAGCTTATAGAATTTAGAGAGCTGAAATAGAAAACACTTTGTATTAAGATTAATTTTGCTATTAGTTGAAAGCACTTATATTTTACCATTCATTTTTGAACAAACGTGAAAGCTTTCCTTGTGTGAAAGGAAAATGTCTCCCCAGCCACTGTGGAGAGAATAACAGAATAACAGAGTTGGGAGGGACCCTGGAGGTCATCTAGTCTAACCCCCTGCTCAGGCAGGAGACCCTATGCCCTTTCAGACAAATGGCTGTCCACTCCCTTCATGCTATGGAAGGATTGGGGCTCTCGGGGCCTTGCGGATGTAGTTCAGTAACAACTCTCCCTCTGCCTGGAAGCTGGAGCCATGGGGGGTCCCACAGAATAGCAGGAGGGGCACCACTAGGACCCCCAGCCAGGGTGGTTAGCAATTATGATTCTACTACACAAATTGTGGCAGCTCTGTGGGTGTCAGTCTAACACTTGTTGTCCTGAGCCAAACATTATTTGAGACCTTTTCTTATGAATGGGATTCCTTTCCTATAGAAATTGTCCCTCTTCTGAATTTATTTTTCAGGAATGTCATTCAATGTATTTTAATTTAATGTGTCTCAAGGAATGTAAATGTTGATAGTCCATAGTTTGGGACTATCTATGTGCAAAACAGAGAAAAAATGAATTATTGTTAGTACTCATGATATGAAAGGCCATTCAACAGATTATGATGGATGCCCTAAAATTATATACAAAACTCTTTCAAAGTTATGATGTTTGCAATGCCCTTGAGGTCATTAGCCCTTTAGACTGACCAGTGGGATGCTGCAGTGCCCTCCCTCTCTCCCCCTCCGATCTCCCCCCCAACAAGACCCTGCAGTGCTTGGGCCTGATCCCCATGACTGCCGGAAGTGGCCACCATTTTCAATACTCCGACGAGTCCTTGTAAAAATGGCAACTGCTTTTGAAGTTTTCCACCCTGATCCTCTGGCTGTTGGGAGACTGCAAAGTTCTCCTGACCCTTGCTAGATTTGGGAAACCGGACACTGCGTGCTTCCTTCCCTCTGGGCACAACTAGGCTTCAGGGCGACATGGCAGGTAACATCATGGACAAGAGAAGCCATGTTACACATCCACCTGGCATTCAGAAAGAACAGCCAGTACCTGGAGCCACCAAAGATCTGGTAGACAGGCACTGAGAGTGGAAGCTGAGGACAATACAGTGGGAGCACTTTCCAATGATGGACCTGGGATATTGGTCATCCTGTGCTCCTCATTGTAAGGGTGGACCTGCCCATCCCATCAGCTCCCCCTGTCACTCAACCCCCCTCCCCCAGTTCTCCCTTCTAGGCCAAGCTGTCCATATTAACATCCCCCCTCCAGATAAGAAACATAATCAACAATCGACCCAGATAAACCAAAACACAGGGACTCCCAACTATAAGCACTTGGAAGTCTTCTAGGGAGAACAAAGAAAGCCTCAGAGATGGGAATGTCACAGGAGTCGCAAAAAACCAAGTGCATCTACACAACCAGAGGAACTGCCACCAGGTCCCCCAAAACCAACCTCCGGGTGGTTGTGGCAAGAAATCAGGTCACATCATCCACTGCACTCTGGGCACTGTCACCATCTTAACTGCAGACCTAACAGCACAATTGTTTTATTTAAACCAAGAAATGTCAAAATTTAATGGCTCTCATTGTATCATTATGGAAAGACAACACAGAAAGTGTCAAGGAAACTAAAATTCTACCCTACAATTTTCTCTCTCTGTGCCCATGGTGCTATCTCAGGCTGTCACTTTCCTGCCTCTTAGCCAGCTCTCATGCAAAAAATGATGTTTCTAGAACAGATGGCAAATGAAATTTCACTTCCGTTACAAGGAATTATAAAATCAGCTCCAAATTAGGAGTGATACATGGAGATCTCATTGAAAAGAAAATCCCAAATTCTTAACATTAGGCTGGGTTCAAGGATTCTGAGTGCTTCCATGGAGATAAAGCACAGGCAGCGCTAGAGTTAAGTGTCACCAACCTAGAGTGGCACCAAACTCCATAACTCTGGGTGACCTTCCCTAGCAGCCTCTGGAGGCAACAGACCCCATTGAAGGACAGCAGAAGTCACTTTCCTGGCTGTTGAAGTACCTCCATCCAGCATGACGTTCTGGACACGTCCTAACAGGAAGGACTAAGTCCACTACTGAACACTGTCCCAAGGGGTCTATCTGTGACTTTTCTCTAACATGTTTTTCTCCAGCTATCCCTCCTTACATGGAAGAAGTTCAGAGTCCCAAGAGCAGAAGCTCCTTCTCACTGCAATCTTCACCCTCCCTGTCTCTGAGACCTCTTCTCCTACGTCTCCAGTGCCTGTCTTTGGTGTAAACATCAGACTGAAGCAACATGGAAGGGATCTTGCCTCAGAAAAGGATAAATATTACAGTTAAGCTTTTTATGGCTCACATTACAGGACAGACAGGAGCTGTGCTCTTGAATATATTTTCTCTCTCTTTCTTGGTTTCTCTGTTTGAATCAGGAAAGCCACTGGATCTTCCACCCTGTCAGAGTACTTTGAATTCTATTTTTTTTTTTAGAAGGAGGAAGGAAATTGATTCTGCCCCATGAATTATGGACCTCCTGCTTCTGCTTTTGCTTCTGCTTCTGATGCTGCTGGTTTCCCAGCCACTCTCTGGGAAGATGACGATGAAGTGCCCACTGACTTTGGACAACCAGGATGAAGAAAAGCCATGGAGCTATTATAGGCCAGGAGATTTTCTCATTGGTATAGTCTTCTCTGCATCAAATATAACACCCGCAACTTTACCTTTCAACATGGCTCCTTCTAGTCAGTTTCAGCTGTAAGTCATGCGATGGAGTTTCATTCCCTCCATTTGCAGTTCTAACATTCTTCTTTTTTCCTTCTTGTTTTACTTACTCTTATATTGTAGGATCTGACAAATTTTTTGAATCCTTTTGATTAACACAGCCTCTCTCTTTTGCCTTATTTTCTGAGAGTAGAAACATGAGGGAAATGAAACCTCAAAGAAGTCCAGATTATTTTCCTCTCTCTCTTCAGTCCTAAATTCATGACTGGAATACTGACTTTGGTTGAAAGTAATGATTGAAATGGTTCTAATTTCCTCTGCCCAACCATTTCCATATTTTTACAACTGATTGATATGCAATGTTTGATTTTTAAAGGAATAGAAGATGACTTGTTTTTAGAACAGCTTCTGTGGGTCATTTATCAAAAATCTCCTTTCTTTAATGGTGGTTCTTCTTTAATGACTGAATTATTCTGTGCTACGAATATTAGTACTGCTAAAAATAATTGTATGTTTGTGATTTGATAAATCTATTTGAGGACTATCCCCATCCTCAACACTAACAATATTAAAGGGTGATGGGTGACTATCATTTGCCTCTAGTTTTGGATCATTATTGGCTTATGTTTCAGCTAGTTTGTAGAGATAAAAAGGATTGGCTTATGTTTCAGCTAGTTTGTAGATGATTAAAAGGAAAAAAAAGTATTGTTGCTGTTGATGATGCTAATATTAACATGATCATGGTTTTACACTAGTTTATCCTATGGAAAGGAAAATATACTACGCATGATTTGCAATATTGAACTGGTGAAGGAGAATCCCCAGAACCTGCACAATCTCACACTTGGCTACAATATCCATGACAACTATGATAACACCCTTGGCACTTCAGATGCCTTGCTGGACATGCTCTCTACTGGAGAAGCCAATGTTCCCAACTACAGCTGTGGAAGGAAGGACAAGCTTTTGGCTCTTGTTGATGGAGCTAGCAGAGACATCTCAATCCAGATGTCAACATTAGCAGGCACCTACAAAGTCCCACAGGTTTGTGTTTGTCCTTCCCTTTCTGTAAAGTGAATGAGGTGTTGGTGTGTAAGTGATAGATCTATCCTTGTCTTCTCTGTGGAATTATTTGAATAATAATAATGATCAGTCTATTCTTCGAAAGGCACTTTACTCCCTTCCAAGAAATGGTGCCACGTTAATAATGCCCATCTCACCCCAAAAGCCTCCTTCTCCCAAACAGCCCATCTCCTCTCTTTTTCCAAAAGCTTTCGTGAAGTGTAGGCGCAGGGCTGCAGATCCCCCCTAAGGTTTTCCTGTAGGAGGGCTGCCCCCACCACAACATCACTAGCATCAACTTGGATGATGAAAGGTTCCTCAGGATCAGGGTGTTTAAGAACTGGCTCTTCTGCAAATAATTGTTTCACTATGGCATTTGTAAGTGTTATAAATAAGGATTGGGATATACAGTTGGGAGGAATCAAGGATCAAAAGAGACCTGTTCTGATCCAGAATTCAGAAGGAAATACTTACAGTTATGGTTGTTGCTTTTGGATAATACACATCTGTTCATCTTTATTAGGTAAAATCATTAATTCCTCCACATCAACTTCTTATGTGGAATGGGACCATCTGAATCCTGCGATGGCCCCATGCTTATTCTCAGACAAAGAAATTCCAAACTGGCACATGGCCAGGATATACTGTCATGAGCTCAGAGGCTCCTCCTACTAATCTGTTAACATGGGTTTGCTGACTAGCTAAAACTACATTACCCATAAGCCATCTCTTAAGGACACAGCGCTTAACCCAATAAATGCCAAACATTCTAATATACAGATCTACATGATCCAAAACAGTGGTTCTCAACCTTTTTAATGCCGCGACTCCCAACCGGTCGTACGTCGAGGACTAAACTGGTCATAAGTCGAAGACTAAACTGGTCATAAGTTGAGGACTTTCCCTGCTTGCGTGGTGCCACCCCTTGCGCCGGCCGAGGCATAGCTGACAAGCAGCATAGACGGAGCAGGTGGACCACTGGCTGGGCCACCAGCTGGCCCAGCCCAAGGGAGGTAAGGCACCCGCCGGAAAAGGGGAAAAAATGGCGGACAGCCTTGCTTGGTGACCCCCGTGAAATGGTCAATCGACCCCAAATGGGGTTGCGGCCCATAGGTTGAGAACCGCTGATCCAGAACAAGACCTGTCTTTCCAATTGCTTGGAGGCTTCTGCTGCACACTTGTGAAGGTGAGGAGAGGCTCTGTGTCCAATTAAAGGATCTTCTGTACAATAGGAATGTGCAGTACTGATGGAAAACTCACATTTTTCTACATGGTCTTAGCCAAAATAATGATATCCTCAATCATGACCAAATCTCAGATTTTTAAACAGAGTCCTACTGATGATAAAATATATATGTATTATGAACCTTTAGAGGCCACTAACATTAACCAACCATTTTATTACAAATCTTCAAATATGTTAGGCAACATATCATTATTTTTTGCCCTAAAATGCTCATAATCAAATTTATCCTAAAAGGTTTGAAGAGCAATAAAGCCTTGGAGAGGAGTTTCTAGCAGCTGAACAATTCAAGAAATATCCCCACTGGTGGGACCCTCCATTGACAGATAGATTTACACATATAAATAATATCCGCCATGTCCATTTGGATCAAAGAAGATAATTGTAATTCCTGTATATTAAAAAAGGGACTGAAAAGGACCCTAGCAATTCCCGGCACATTTCTCTAACAGATATTGCGACTAAAATATATGCAAACATCCACTTGAAAAGAATTGATAGTAGGTGGATGAAAAGTGCATTCCTTGTAGAAGAACCAGCAGTCTTTAGGACGATGTGATCCACTCTTGACAATTCTTTTGTCTTGAACCATCTAACTATAAAAATATCAGTCAGAGGAAATAATTTGCTGTCTTTATAGCATTTGACACAGTAAACAAAGAAATATTATGGAAGAAATATTTCTTATGAGCCCTTCAAATGGAGCTCAGGATGTTGACCCTGCTCAAAGCCCTTTCTACAAGCACTGACAATGAGAACGATTAATCAGTGGAACGGCTTGCCTCATGAAGTTGTGGGTGCTCCATTAATGGAGATTTTCAAAAAGAGGCTGAACATTCATTTGGTCTGGATCTCTTGCTATGGTTAGGGGATTGAATTCGAAAACCTCCATGGTCCCTTCCATCCCATTTTTGTTTATTTGTTTGAGAGTGTGTTTGGGGCTCAATGGAGCCATGAGCAGTAGGATTGATATGTACCAAAATTGAAGAAAAAGGTGATGCCAATATGACATTTGGGTTGCATGTGCTGTTAAGAGGAATTGGCTCCTATTCTCATAATAATTATCTGATTATGGATGAGTCAAAGTCAATAATTACGATCTTTGGGAAAGGACAGCATTGCCCTATAGGGCTAATCGATGAGGAGGCAACAGAACAAGTTCACACCTTTCCTTACCTGGGGGAACTTTTCTTTCTGACTGGATCTGGGCTCCCTCAACATCAAAGGAGCTCCTTTAGAAGGCACAAGTGAATGCACTGTTAATTTTTTAAAAAAAAAATTATAGGTATGCGGCTTCCTTAGAATGAATTATTAAATACAAAATACCAATGTTACCATTATGCACTTATATTGAGCTGAACTTTGGGATTTAATTTATATCACTAATAGAACAAATCCAATCACATCATCTGAGAAGTATCTAGAGCAGGGCTTTTCAACCAGTGGAATGGATACCACCTGTGGTACATTGACACCAGACAGATAGTACGCAACCATCCTAGAAAAATGGTAGCGGGGGAGTGGAATGGTCTGAACCGGTGGCAACACTGCACAATCCTGAGTGAGAGATGGCTGGAGCTGCAGGGCTATCAGGGCTCAGTGGAAGCTCCAGGATCAGTGCTACTTTCCAGCTGATCAGTACTTCTTCGGGACTGTAAGGGCTCAGTGGAAGCTCCAGGATCAGCACCAGGCTTCAGCTGGAGCTCAGCACTGATCCTGGCACTTCCGCTGAGCCCCAAAGAAGCACCAATCAGCTGGAGTTCAGCACTGATCCTGGCGCTTCTGCTGAGCCCAGAAGAAGCGCCGATCAGCTGGAATGTTGCAGCATCTCCAGGGTCTTGTGATTTAAATTCAGATGCTTGGCAACTGATTCATATTTATGACAGTCACAGTGTCCCAGGGTCATATGAAGTGACCAAACCTGCTGCAATCACCCAGTAGACGGGGGGAATAAAAACCAAACATCCCCACCCCACCCCTGCTGCCAATCCTCAACAGAAATGCTCACAACAATGAAAACCTCAGACAGGA